CTTAAGAATTTTATTTGGAGTTATCATAAAAGGTGAACTTGAATATGTCCCTAACTAAGACTTAGAAAATTTAAAATCTATCAATTTGATCAATTATTACTTAACTCTATTAATTTGGCAAGTGACAATATTTTTATAAATTTTTTTAACAAAAAGAAAGAAAAATATAACTAAAAAGGTAAAATAAAGAGGAAAATATGTATTTCTCACCCCCACACCTAAATTTTGCATTGTCCTCAATACAAATTCACTGAAGCACAAAGTAAAGCAGATAAAATTGAAGAACTTACAGTTGTTCGGTTGACAATGATGATAAGGATCTGTAATTACAGTTAGTATGAGGATGAAGAAATCAAATAAGAGGAAAATTGTAAGTAAATAATTATTTTTTTAACTATGTTACTTATTCAAATTTTTGGTTTTTTTTTAAGTGAAAAACAAAAAGGTGAGAAAATATGTATATATTTTTTATTTTTATTTTTAAATGAGGAATTTTTTTTTAATAAACATGTATGTATTATTTTTTTAGAAACTATTCGAAATATTTCTTTTTTTTTATATGTGAAAAACAAAATGTGTATATATATATATATGTCTTTTTTTTAGATTTTTTTTTGAAAAGAAAAAAAATTATTATTATTATTTTTTTTTTGAGAAGAGAAAGGAAAAACCTAATTAAAACAAATCCTTTTTTTTTAAAGTTCGTTTTTTTTATATAAAAGGAAGGAAAATTATCCCAGGGAAGCCAAATTTTTTTTTAAGGAAAGAAAAAAATTAGTTTTTTTTTAAAAGGAAAGAGAATTAGTTTTTTTTTTAATATATGAGAAGATAAAGAAAAAGAAAAATCCTAACTAAAACAAATCAAATCAATCATTTTTCAATCAACTCTAATTCTAAGGTTTAGCCTAACCCAACTAGACCAGCTCCTAACCAAAAACTCCTACAGTGAAAAGATTAAAGTTTTACCCAGGTAGTTAGCCAGGTAAGGATAGTACTAGAGGTTGATCAATGATCAATTAAGTACCTCGTTCCTTGCGGAGCGCATTACGCAACTCCTAAACCTTGCCTTAGACACCAACTAATCTGAGAAAACTTAAACCGGTTCACTTAAGGATTTCTTGTTCCTTATTGAGCTCGAATCCTTAGGGGCCAACGTCTAATGAGTTTTAGAAGGCTTGGGTTTGTGAAGTGAGGAATTAGTGATTTGTGGGCTAAGGAAAGGGTGATGAAATCCCTTACCTTATCTTGATTGGGGTTTTGCCCTTAAGAATGTTTTAAGTGTGTGCCAAATCAAGTGCTACAATCATTTTGGTGAATTCCTACACTATGTGAAATACAACCCTAGAAATTAAAAGCGACTAAAAAGGATGATAAAAAGAAAATCTTTTTTTTAATTATGGTCAACAACAATCAAATGTGAGAAGAGAGCTCTTGTTTGATTTTATTATCTTATTAGTTAATGTCCAAGTGAAAGGTGGATTTTATTATGGTCAACAAAAATAAAATCTTTTTTTTAATCCTAATTGTCTCTAATTGTGAAGCTAGCTAAAAGGGTGGAATTAAAAACTAGAAAGAGGACTTACCCGAAAGCAATTCTCCAAATTCTTGATCTTCAATCCAAGATTTTCAAGCTCCAAGCGGTTCCATCACAAGAAAACACACAAGTTAAAGAACCAAAATAATAAAATCCTATTTTAGCACCTTCCCCGGCAACGGCGCCAAAAACTTGATGCGGCATAATTATGTACCAAAATTGCAAGTGCACAATTGATCAAGTTATAGTATAAAAATATCGATCCCACGAGGAAGGTGATTTTAAGAGATTATTAGAAATGGTTCTTATGTTTTGTGCATGACAATTAGGAATAAAGAATAAGTGTGATTTTGATGAGTGGTTGTTTTGATTTATGTGCAAGAGATAATAAATTGAATTTTAGAGAAGAAAGAATCAAAAAATAAATGAAATCACAAGGCAAGAAATATGAATTAATAAAATCAAGAAATAAAACTAAGAATGAAAAGAAAATTTAAGAAAGTTAAGATGAATGATTCAAAAGAGGTAAGAAATCTAGAATATAATCAACTAACCAATTTTAATTACAAAATATTGTTTTCGTCGAAAGTTGCCTTCATCATTGATTTCATTAAAACTTTAGTCGTTACAAATGAATTCAAATAACAAAAATAAAAATTATAACTTTCTTGAAAATAAACACAAGATCCGTTTATCGTCTCTTGCTTGCGTGGGTCTTTGGCCTGTGACGGGGACGTCGATATCCGTGGACTACCTGGCAATCAGATCTGATCCAGAAAAATCGGGCAGAGCTTCGTCGATACGCGAGGAGATCTAGAAACTTGAAGCGC